GAGCCTAGCCTGTGGGAAATAATAACTCATTCGACCACCTCCAAGAAGTCTAGTAGTGACCAGAATCTGATTCCCCACCCACACACCATCCCTGTGACCCTTGAAGAGAAGAGTTTTTAGCCAAACAGCTGAACTAAAATTCCCACACTTGCCCAGAAGGGGAAGTGGGCAGTTGCTCCCTGCTCAACACACCACCTCCAAATCTGACTGCCCCATCCCTCCTTAGTGGAGCCTTTGGCTAAGCAACCTGAGTGAAGCGCCCACAAACCTGCCCAGAAAGAAAGGGTTATAACCACTTGCCACTCAGTCCCGCACATTTTTCCCAAGGAGGAGCAGGGACTGAAAGAAAGCCTCTGTCTAAAGAGATGTAGACTTGTATAGCTAGGGAGGGGAGCCATCCTTAGGGGACACATGAGAACTGCAGACTAAAACCTGAAGACCAGAAATTGCAGGAGAGCAGACAAGTGCACTGATTTGACCACAGAAGAAACTCACTGCTCTCCTCAACAAGGAAGAAGTTTGAACTTAATTTTTTTTTCCTTTTTGTTAAAGTTTCAATTGTCTATCCATCTTTTATTCCAAAAATTTTCTCCTTACTTTTTCAATTCTTCTACCCCTTTTTTCCCTTTCCTTTTCTTTCTTCTCCTTTTTCCCACTTTCCCTATCTTTTCCTTACAAAACACTAACTAGTGATTTATTCTGCCACCTTCACATATTACTCCCATCTTTTCTATTTTTCTGCAATCCCTAACAATAGCACCCTCCTCCATAACAACTAAACTACACCTCTATACACATTAGGGTCTTATTAACCTGCAGTCCCCACACCTCACACCACTTCTTCCCCTCTCCCCATCCTCCTTCCTCTTTATCTCCACTCCCACTCCTATAATTTTTACTGCCTAAGTTTTAATCTCTATACAACTTTTATTTTTCCAACACCCCTCTGATGACAGATAATACTGCCAAGGGTTTTATATTTCACATAAATATCTGGCTTGGTACTGAAATTGTTATTGCTAAGTTATACCCCCAGGTCAGTGGACAGAAACTATACCACAATCTAGCTAATAACTAATCATGCCAGAACACAGAAGTTGATTCAAGGGAAGACTTTCAGTGACTAAAACCCCCAACCAACTAATCAACAACAGACGAGCAAATCTTAAAACAGACTCGAGGGGAAAAGGAGAACGCAGGAAAATATGACTCCCCAAAAGGTCAACAACCGCACAACGAAAGAGCTGATGAAAGCAAAGGGGATGAAACCTCAGTTTCTGAGCACAAAAGAATGATGGTAAGAATGATTAAGGAGGTTAAAGAAGACATGCAAAACCAAGCCAATGAAATTCAAGAGAATATGGATAAACAGGCTTGAAAAGGCACAGAAGCCAATGAAATTCAAGAGAATATGGATAAACAGGCTTGAAAAGGCACAGAAAAGAATACAAATAAACATCTGAATGAAATCAAGGAAGATACATAAAAGATGAAGACAATATGATATGTGAAAGGGAAATTAATAAATATATAGAAAGTCTAAAAAAAAACATGTAAACTCTGGAAATAAAAAGCTCCTTAAGTCAAACAAAAAATACAGTTGACAGTTACTTCAGCAGACTGGAACAAATGAAAGAGAATTTCAGGACTTGAAGACAAAGTGGACATAATAGAAAAAACAGATGAATACATGAAAAAAAAGAATGAAGAAATATGAAAGGAATATGCATGAACTCTGAGACTCGAATCATAGGCTTCAAAGGAGAGGAAGTGCAAGCCAAAGGCATAAAAAAACATACTCGGCAAAATAATAGCAGAAAATATCCCAAATCTCAAGGAAAAAATGCCTATCCAGATACAGGAGGCTTATAGGACACCAAGTAGACATGACCAAAATAGAACCTCTCCATTGTATATTATAGTTAAAACATAGAACAAACAACAAGAAAAGAATATTGAAGGCTTCAAGAGAGAAACATCAAATCATATGTTAAGTTGGGTTTAACAGCCAGGCACTGGTGGCTCACAACTGTAATCCTAGCTACTCAGGAAGCAGAGATCAGGAGGATCGTGGTTTGAAGCCAGCCCCAGCAAATAGTTCGAGACCCAATCTCAAAATAAACCCTTCATAAAAAAAGACGGCCAGTGTAGTGGCTTGAGGTACAGGCCCCGAATTCAAGACCCAGCACTGCAAAAAAAAAAAAAAAAAAAAAAGATATAACAGATTTCTCAACAGAAACCTTAAAAGAAAGAAAGGCATGGAATGAGTTATTTCAACCATTGAAAGAAAATAATTTCAAACCTAGAATACTCTGCCCAGCAAAGCTATCATTCATTACTGAAGGAGAAATAAAAACTTGCCATGATAAACAGAAACTGAAACAAAATATGACCATTAAACCAGCAATTAAGAAACTCAAAGGACTCTTACACATAGAAGATGAACATAAACATAGCCATGAAATGATGGGAATAGTTAAATCTCAGGAGATGAGCAGTTAAGCAATTGTAGAGTAGCAAAGAATCAATCAAAACACGTACACAAGCAACAAAATGGCAGGAATTACCCCTCAATGTTAATTGTCTCAACTCCTCTATCAAAAGGCATAGATTGGTGAGCTGGATTAAAAAGAAGACATGATGATTTGTTGCTTACAAGAAACCCATCTCACTGACAAGAAACAAGACTGGCTTAGGGTGAAACAGGAGAAAAAGATATCCCAAGCAAATGGCATTTGAAGACAGGCAGAAGTAGCTATCAGAAAAGGTAGATGTCAACTAAGTCCCTTGAACTCACCCTTTGAGAAGTGGACATTTCTCTCAGAAGTGGAATGACAAGAGCTTTGAGGAGTTAACTCTTTTTGTCCTCCTCCTCATCTGACAAATAATAAACTTTATTTCCTCTTCCTCAAAACCCTGCTCTTGTTATTTGTAAATTAGCATTGAGGTCAGGGGACTGGATCTCCAGTAACAGAGCCTATGACTAAATGTAGATGGCTTTATGAGAAGAGGGAGGGGGTACCAGAAGAGACACAGGTGCATACCACCATGCCTAACCAACCCCTTCTGCTACATCTAAAATGCCTTGAAGACAGATGTTTGCTGTTTACCTTTGTATCTCCCATAGTACACATGCACTGCACATAATTAGAACTCTATAGGTGTCTACTAAATTAGATTGATTTGTTTAACATCATTTATTCAAGTTTTAAAATCAAAATTCCTTTTGGAGTAGAAATTAAAAGAGCAACAGAACACAGAATTACAACACTGAATATATAGCATATCCCACTAGCATCCACCACTGGCTTGGAATACAGCCATTGTTCCCTGAATTTTGTTAATTTGTGTCAAGCTGACCACTGACCATGGCAAATAAATTTTTGCCATGTCTTCAAAAATTACTTTTTAGTAGAAAAAAAATTGTGACAAAACAGAGGATAGTAGTATCTAATGATAGATACTAAATCTATCATTACTGCTGGAAAAAAATACCCAGTAGAATTATCATACTCTAGAATATGAGTTTTAATCTGAATAGGTTTCTATTTTTGCTTCCACAGAAACTAAAACCTGAGAAAATGAGTTTAAATTCCATGCAGAAATGTATAACTCTTAGGATGCTTTAGTTAAAATGAACAAAAACTCTTCCATTTTATTTCTGATAGAGAATATGGTAGCTAATCTTTGAACCAATCAAAACAACTGTGATCACTCTGCTCATTATTTAACCCATCTTGAAAGTAAAATAACGCAGAGCTAACCCTTAGTACAAAAGTTACCACCGATGTAACTTTTTACAATTGGTGCTGCTGATTCTTTAACATGACGAAACCACTAAGATTAAGTACTGAGGTCAGGGAGCCCAGGGGTTCACATCCTATAGCTGTGGACCTCTACCAAATCACTTGCCCACTAAACCTTTGTTTACTCACCTGTGATGTAGCCTGAGTGTCTATGGGAAAGGATGCTGGGGGAAATGACCATAAAGTACTGCGCCTGAAACAAGAGGAGCCCTTGATGAATGACAGTTGTAATAAGCAGCCATTACTACATGTCTACCTTACTGAAATATTTTCCTTGGAGAGATACACATAATCTCAGCTGCCTTTTGGAAACATTTTTTTATTAGTACCTAATTATTGTACAAGGGGCTCTGTTGTGACATTTCCACATATACATATAATGCACCGCAGTTTGGTTTATTCCCTCTTACCCACTCCCGTTCTTAAAATAACACCAACAGGTTTCAGTGTTTCACGTTCGTGTTTGTGTAGGAAACACACGACCCACATTCACCCTTCCCTCCCACTATTGCCCTGCCGTTAACATGACCTGTTCGACATGCCCGCCCTTCATTATTTAAGCATCTGTTCACTGCTCGTAGGAATTTTGCCTTGGCATTTTACCCGTGAAAATGCTGTGCTTTAGTCAGTGTGAGCCTCTGACTCTCCCTCCGCCTTCCCCACCCTGTGCTGTTGCCGTTTTCAGTGCGTTTCCTTGTGTCTTGTTCTACACAGATGCGCTCTATTTCAGTACTATCCCCTATCATTCTCGTCTCCTTTTCCCTCCTCGTCCACTCGTCTCAACTTCCCAAGCAGAGAGGTCTGGAAGCGGGCGCCCTCCCGCGCCGACCCGCTCCCGAGGCCTGGGACACCTAGACCCGACTGCGGGCGGTCCCGCGGGCTGAGTGACGGCGACAACAGGTGCAGCGCGCGTCCGCCGCTGCTCGGGAGCCCGAGTTTGGGGCGTCCGTCGGGCCCGGGGACGGAGTCGACGGTGGAACGGCCTTCCTCGCCCCGTAGCAGCTTCGGCAGCCCCCCTCCGCCTGCGTCAGGCCACCTCCATCCCTCCACAGCCGCCAGTGGAGACCAGCAGGGGAAAAAAGGCGGCCGCGCATGGAGCCTTGTATTTCCCTCCGCTCTACCCTCGCCGGCCGTCCCAGAACCCAGCCCTCGACCCGCACACCCCACGCCCGCCCCAACCTGCTCCGCGACCACAGCCCAAACCCGCCCGCCCGCGCCCCGCCCCGCCCGGCTGGCGGCGCCCGCCCGCAGCGCGACCCGCCGCCCGAGCGACGCCGCCCGCCCCTCCCCACCCCCAGGCGGCAGGTTCAGGCCCCGGGTCCGAGCCCGCGCCCTGCAGCTGTCCCTGCCGCCGCCGCCGCCTGCGAGAAAGAGCGCCACTGGGGAAAGGTAGCGTGGCCTCTTGTGCGAAGGTGCTTTCAAACTTTAGGTTCCTGCGCCTTCTGCCCGTCTGTAAAGAGGAGGGAAAGATGGAGCCCGAGTCCGGGGCGGTGAGTACTGCGAGCCGGACCCCGGCCCGAGGTGGCGGGGAGGAGGGGCTGGACTGTACGGGCGCGCTTTAGCGTCCAAACGCTCGCCATTTGTCTCGGAAGGGCGCCCCAGCGTGCCCGTCGACTGCAGCGAAGAGCCGCCCGTCGGACGGTGTCGCGGAATCGGAAGGGCGGCTGCCCGGCGGGGCTGGGGGTGGGCGGGGGGAGGTGTCAGGCGTGGCCAAGAAGCTTCGGGACGCTGGGACGTGTGCACCCCACGGAGTGCCTTTGGATGAGCGCTTTCCCGTCCAAACTGCAATAGGCCGCGTCTTTGACGCCCGCACTTGCGGGCCTCAGCCTAGCGCCCACCGCCAGGAGCCGCGTGGTCGACGCCTTCTCTCCCTGACCGCTCTGTGGGGCCCAGAGGGCCTGAGCGACAAGGGGGAAGAAGGAGGACACGTGTGGCCCAGATCTGAGCCGGTCCTCCAGCAGGGGTCTGGACCCATCCTACACTTGTGGGCGGGGGCCGGGGGCCCCACAGGCCCGAGGGCCGGCGGTAACGTGCCGCCACGCCCCGCCCCGCGCCCCACCAGCAGCCAATCAACGCGCCGCTGCACACGAGGTGGGCGGCGGGGTCGGTGCCGTTGAGGGTTCCCGCCACGGCTGCTGGCGGGTTTGCCTGGCAAAATTTCTCGCTGGCTAGCCTTCTTTTCCCTCCCGCACTTTGGTGGGGAGGGGGTGGATCCTCGTATCGGTGCCCCGGTTCACGATGACCTGCGAGAACCCGAGGACGTTGTCGCTGCGGCCATTTCCCCCAGCGCCTCCACCTGCTGGCCTCGGAGGGGAAGGAGCACCGAGGCCGTGACCGCGACGGTTAGCCGGTCCCTTAAGTTGTCTTTGCCAACGCGGTGCTAGGGCTCGGGTTTGATGGTCCAGGGGAGGCGGCGGTGAGGGCACGTTAGTGCAGGGAGCTGTGCTGAGCAGAGGACCCTAACCGAACCCCATAGCAGCCCTTCCTCCCCGGGGGGCTTTCCGACCGCCAGCCCAGGCGAAGCGTGCTTTGCTGTGTAGCTCAATGCATCCGCTAACCGTCAAGGAACTTAGATGTCGCCTCTGCCCAGCCCTGTTCCTGCTAACGTTACAATATTTTCTAGAGTAGCAATCGTACTCTATTCGTGTGTCCTCCTCCAAAGTGCCGCGGGTCGCGAGCAAGTCGCTCCCGAAGAAATGATCCACTCCCTTATTCCTTCAAAGCTCGGTCACTGAGCACCTGCTACGGAATGCCACTGCTGTAGAGGCTGCTGTGCTTAGCACAAACTCCCTGCCCTCGTGAGCATTAAGGGGTTTTTTGTTTGTTTGTTTGTTTAGTGACAAGAGAGAGAAAGTGAACGTACTAAATACATGATGGATGTGTTAGAAAATAGCTAAGCGGTAAGGAGAGAAGTTAAGCACGCGGAACCCACAATAGAGACAAGAGAAGGAAGTGAATTGATTGTAAAAAGTTTCTTTTCTCTGTAGTTTCTCGGCGTAGGAAATAAGGCACTTTTGTTTGGTTCATTTCAGCCCTTTCGCACTGAAAAATAATGGAGTTTGTTTTTTACTTAAACTGGAGAAAAAAGGAGTTCATCCATTAAGCTCTTATTTTGTTTTTAGGAAGACAAGTTTGTGAGGACTGATTTGTATTTCTTTATTCATTTACTGCAGCACTGGAGATTGAACCCAGGACCTCTTACTTGCTGGCTGAGAACTCTAGCAGTTGAGCTAAGCTCCTAGTCCAACGACTGATTTTTTTTAACTTAGTAAATAAATAATTTCTACACTATAAACAAATGGCCTGAGAGACAAGGTTGTATCTACAGGAGTTGTTAGATTATCTTTAGGAGTACAAATCCACAGTTGAAAAATAACATTAAGCATCCCAGAATCCTTCATTCTCCCAGAATCATTACTGAGTAAAGTGAAGTTACAAATAACCTCCAAGTGCCCAGGAAAGAAACTAAGATCTTATTTCCAATTTTTTCATTGGAAATTACAACACAGCAATTATTAAATGTGATGACTTTTCAGTAGCTTAAAAGAAGTGCTATGACTCCTCACTAGGCAATATATGTTTTCCTCCTTAAGACTGCATGGGGAAGAGAGCCCACTAAGTCCAGCCTATAGCCCAGTGTTCACACTGGCCTACTTATGTCTCTGTGCATTTCCAGAAATTAATTTAGGGATTCTGATTTTATTGGCCACGAAGTTAAAAAGAACAACTGTGCTATCAAAATTAGAAATTGATTTTCATGTGTTTATTCCTCAGCGAACTGGAATTGTGAGCGTCAGTCTTTTGTTTGCTTTGCTTTGGCTGCACTGGGATTTGAACTCAGAGCCTTGCGCTTCTTAGGCAGGGGCTCTGTCACTTGACCACACCCCGAGCACTTTTTTGCTCTAGCTCTTTGTCTAAAAGGGTCCCAAGTTTATGCTCAGGCCAGCCTTGACCACAATCCTATTTACACTTCCCACATAGCTGTGGTAACAGATGCAGGCCACCACACCCAGCTTTTTTTTTTTGCATGTGGGGGTCTTGCTAATTTTTTGCTGGAGCGTGCAGCAATACTGATTTCTGCCTCCTGAGTAGCTTGAATTACCGCTGTGAACCACCATGCCCACCAATTTTACTCAGTCTTTTTGAAGCACCCATTTAGTATGTTAAACTATCTCACAAGTCTTTTGTCTTTCTAGAAGGAAAATACCAAGTTTTTGAATAGTTTTCTCCTCAAGATTCTATTCTTAATTTTCTTACTCTTAATTCTTGATTTTCTTTTCAGTTGTACCTTACAAGTCATTGTAAAGTACTTGTCATTGTGTAAAGGCTTAATGTTCATATAATTTTATTACATTTAAATCCTCTGGTGAGTTGAATATGATTAAAGTACCTTGTATGCATGTATGTAAATATCATAATGAAACCCCTTTATACAACTCATGCTAATAAAAAATTTAAATACATTTAAGTCCTCTGGCTTAGAATTGTAAGCATATGGATATGAACTGAGCTGAATTCTTTGGCGTGAAACTTTATGAGTATATGTAATTTTTTTTTTAACCAAATCAGTGTAGTCTTCAAATATACAATGCATTTAAAATTTGGATTTTCAGGCTGAAAATACTGAATTTGAATGTCAGAGTTTATCAGTGCCCTTTAGTCAAAGACTACCAAGAAAACATCTATAATTTAATACTTGGGTCTCTTCAGTCATTGGAACTAGGAAGAATATGCACCATGGGTCCTCTTAGATAGTGTTAAGAAGTACTTACTGTAGGATCTAGGCTCATGTAAATTAATTTTAATCAGAGTTTCAGGAAGAAGAGCTTTACCCTGGAATACATTTTGGGAAGTAGGAGTAGTAAGAATTAAGAATTAACATAAGATTGTGTATATTCTTACCTAAAGTGCAAGAAATATGGATCAGTGCTAAAGCTGTGATTGATAAGGCAGTAGTCCCTCGTACCCACAAACAGAGGGGTATTTGGTCTTTCTTGTGGGTTGGGCAATATTTTTTTGTCAGTGTTCAAATATGATTATGAAATGGTCTTGTTTTTACTTTAATTCATCATAATCGGAGAGTGACCTTATCTGAAGTTGGTATTCTGTTGACAATAGAATACCATTGACTATCTGTGAGTATCAGACCAACTTCTAACCACGCCAGGGCCTAATTGGTTCTGCCAATCCAGTCTCAACTCTGGATCTGCTTTTCTCTTTGGGACTTCTTTATGAGTTTAATATTCTTCCTTAATATTCTAATAATAATTACTGTAAGCTTATTTAAATAATATATTTAATAGTTAAGATCGTCTATGTAGTAGGGTCAGATTGTTTTATTTTTTGTTGCCCTCAAAAGCTATTATCTCTAATTACAATAGTGCAATTAATATGTAGTCATATTATATATAATTATAACTGTCTTCATAATATTAGAACAAAAAAGTCTTCAGCTACTACCCTGTATCTAAATGACTCATCTTTTTGAAGATATATGTTTACAGCCTGCATTAAAACTTACAACTGGTGCTAAAAGTTTAAAAGAATTTTATTTTACAGCAAACATCAAATCAGACGCAAACAGATTCATTATCTTCATCCCCTAATCCTGTGTCACCTGTGCCTTTGAATAACACAACAAATGCCCCAAGATATGGAACTGTGATCCCTAATCGCATCTTTGTAGGAGGAATTGACTTTAAGGTACTTATTTAGGCATGCAGCATAAACCGGTTATTTTGCATTAGAAGTTGTTTCTTGGTATTTCCTTGTGCAACTATAAAGTAACATTAATATATTGATTAATAGGTTTCAAAGTGTCTTCATATAAAGAATATTTTCAACAGTTATGTAAGTTAAATAAAGCATGTATAGTTGTGCAGTTTCACATATAAGGAAACTGAGGCTCATTGAACTTGCTGTAGGCTCCTAACTACTTACATAGTGGCAGAAGGTGACTAGGATCTTCTCTGAGTCAAAGCTCCGTATTTTTCATGTCACCATACACATACACACTAGTGCTTTCTAACATAATACTCCAAATGCCCAAATAATGGGTGATTATAATTTTCAAAAGAAGATTCAATCTTTTAAAACTTGGTTCTATAAAATCCTGGCTTTTTAATCCCAACCTTTATCTCAGGTTCCCAAGCAACTTCCTTAACTTCATCTGTTGTAAATAACTTTCTATGATAGGATTTAGAAATTGGTCACCAAAAAAGGACTATATGTTGTCGTCAGAATAAAACATCTTAACAGTAATATACTTAATCAGGTAATCAGCAATTTCATACTTTCAGAAAAGCATAGTTGTTGTAAGATGATTACTGCCCTATATGGGGGGTATAAATATATACAAGAAATGCCTGCATAATATTTTAACTCAAATACCCTTCCACATGGATATGTAGAAGGCTTTCTAAGCTCATGTATTAAATGTTAGAAATTATAAATGTCTTTTTTTACAAAAAAAATCTTTATGCCATTAGGTATGACATTTGATACTCATTATTTCTGTGTAATTATTTTCTCACAATTTAGGTAGAATTACTTTTTTCCTGCGTAAGAGAAATGTTACACTTAGTGTACTTGGAAAAATAATGAGTCTTAAGTATGTGATTGTTTCACTAAAAATAAAGAAAATTATTTCTTATAAGTGTTTATTTTTTTAATTTTTCTGCGTCCACAGAAAATATTAATGGCTGATCATAAATATTCAAGATGGATATTCCTTTTCATAATTCTAAACAAGAATTTACATTAACTCAGCATTTGTTATTGTCCAGTTTAGTAGGCTTTGCCAACCAAAACTCAATGGTGTATTTATTGAGGTAGCAATACAACTCAAAAGATATAGTTGTGTTCTAAGGCATGTCTTTTTCTTACATGTATAATAAAGACATTTTACCCCCCAGGGACACTTAAAAGTTACTTTTGGAGACAAACAGTTATAACTGAACCATGAAATGAAATTGCAATGAATGTAGCATAAATACTGTAGGACTACATGCCATGAGTCTGTTATCAGATCATTTTAAGTAAAACCAGATATTCCCAAACCATCTTTCTACATGTCTTATGCATTATAAGTCCAACTATGATTAATTTTTATTTTTAATGTCATGTCTGTATTTAGCTGAAATGTATATTGAATACAGACAAAATAATAACTTTAAGTCTTGTAGTCACTCTATTATCACAAGTTGAGTTCAAGTACTTTTGGAAATGCATTCCATTCCTAAGGCCTGGTTCTTGTGGAGTCTATGCTGCTTATGAGAAAGTGACTGGTGTAGGCCAACATAACCTATTTCCATTGCTAAGACTGTTGGTCTCCCTACGCTACAGAGCCAATTAGATAACATGCCCTTACTATGGTTATAGTATACCTAATTCAAATCAGTTTTCTGTGAAAACCGACCAACCAGAGAACAAGTGTCACTGGAAGATTCCTTTAAATAGTGAATGTTCTTTGTAGCTTTAGAATGATTTAACTTAAGGTACTCTGATTTGAATACAACAATTTAAAAACAAAGATACTGCATAAAACAAGATTGAATAATCTAGTATTTTATGCACTGTTTTATTGATAGGCATTGTTCAACCCTAGTATTATTTAGAACTTTTTCTGTAGCCAAAACAAGCTTGAGAGCAATTTCATCTTTTGTTAATTAAAATGTTTTCTTTTTATGCCTTCAGACAAATGAAAATGATTTGAGAAAATTTTTTTCCCAGTATGGGTCTGTAAAAGAAGTGAAGATTGTAAATGACAGAGCTGGAGTGTCCAAAGGGTTAGTATAATTACAGAGTGTGTGTGGAATTAACAATTGTATTTTTATTGGAGTACTGGATTGTATATGCTAATTTACTTTGGCTCCATTTTTCAACAGAATTTCATATTCTCTTTTTTCTCTTGCCTTTTGGTGTGTGTGTGTGTGTGTGTGTGTGTGTGTGTGTGTGTGTGTGTGGTGTGTGTGTGGTGTGTGTGTGTGTTGTGTTGTGTGTGTGTGTGGTGTGTGTGTGGTTGTGTGTGTGTGGTGTATGTGTGGGTGTGTGTGTGTTGTGTGTGTGGTGTGTGTGTGTGTGTGTGTTGTGGTGTGTGTGTGTGGTGTGTGTGTGTGTGTGGTGTGTGGTGTGGGTGTGGGTGTGGTAGGGTGGACACTATAGTGTTCCTTACTCCATGTGGGCAGAGGGGCAGCAAGTCCTTAATGTTGAGAAGCAAATGAACAGTGACTAAGGAAGCAGAAGCTAAGGCATCAGATACTTTGGGAATTGTATCCCTGCTTTAGACAGACTATGGAGAGCTTTATTGAAAACAGCTTGACTCCAAGGAATGTCTATAGGTTGTGCCTCAGAGTCCTCATTAGGAAACTAATGACAATTACTTTCATTGTCAGCTCAAAAAGAATGAAAGTGGAGAGAAAGCAATAGATTGTGTATGGAAATGGATAGAGCTGTTTTGGTGTATTACTTTGTGTACAAAAGTAAATTCCAAAAAGGGAAAATGTAGTTTGCATAGTACATTCACATACGGAGTTTTCCTGCAAAGGTAAAAGAAAATAGGGCAGTGGAAATCCATGAGGGATTGTGATTTATTGGAAGAGAGATGAGACATACATATTTATAGACATAAGAGAAAGGACCAATGAGGTGAACAGAAAACAATATTAATCAGAAACAATATATGACAGTTGGGTACTCTGAAAGCAGTGTGTTCCTACAGAGAGGTTATTTTTAAGCAAAATACTTCCTCTGCCAAATAATATTAAGAAGAACTGAGATTATATCTTTTATTTGGCTAGCAGAATACATGGAAATGTAAGCTGTATTTTATGCATTTTCCACTGGGTGGTGTATATATTCCATCAAAAAATTTAGTGTAAAAATAATTCCTTAACTCTTGCTTAATGTTTGGGCAAAGAGAAATTTGTTTGCTTAAAAATAAACTTTAGATCTACAGTTACAGGTCCGTGGTAGAGCACCTGCCTAGCATGCACAAAGCCCTGGATTCAATCCTCAGCATCACAAAAACAGGTAGTATTTAAAAAGAAAAAATTAAGCTAGTTGTCGGAGATTCACGAGTCAAGGCCAGCCTGGGCAAAAAGTTAGCAAGACCCCATTTTAACCAATAAGCCTAGTAGCAAAAATGGCTGGAGGTGTAATTCAAGTGGTAGAGCAAGCACAAGGCCCTGCATAATTATGAATTTTTTTTAATTTATTAATAAAAATAATATAGCATTACTTAAACCAGGCACCAGTGACTCACACCTGTATCCTAGCTACTGGGGAGGCAGAGATCAGGAGGATCAGGGTTCAAAGTAAGCCCCAGCTAATAGTTCTCCCGACCCTATCTTGAAAATATCCAATTCAAAATAGGACTGGCAGAGTGGCTCAAGTGGTAGAGTGCCTGCTGAGCAAGTGTGAGACCCTGAGTTCAAACCCCAATACCACCCAAAAAATCATAATGATTTAGCATTACTAAAAAGGAGTTTTGCTTTAGTTGATCCACATCTTATTTGTTTCTTTTTTCTCTACCTAGATTGGATTTTGAGCATAGCATACATCATGTATTTGCATCTTTGTATCTTATTTATTTATTTATTTGTTTATAGTTAGTACTGAGGGGTTGAACTCAGGGCCTGGAGCTTGCTAGGTAGGTGTTCTACCACTTTTGAGTCCCTCTGCCAGCCTGTTTGTATTGATTATTTTTGAGATAGGGTCTCCCTTTTGCCCAGGCCAGCCTGGACCACAGTCCTCCTATTTATGCTTCACTACATAGCTGGGATGAGAAGCACACACCACTGCACCAGCCATTGGGTAAGATGAAGTCTTGCAAACTTTTTGTCCAGGCTGACCTCGATCCATGATCCTCAAATCTCCACCTTCCAAATAGCTAGGATTGCACACTTGAGCCACCATGCCCACCATTTTTTTTTGAGACAGGGTCTCTGTACAGCTTAGGCTTGCCTTGAACTCATGATCCTCCTGCCTCAACCTCCTCAGTGCTGGGATTATAGGCATGTGCCTATATTTTGACTATTATAACAATTATACTTAAAGGTAGCAATCATGTATGAAGAGCACATATGAAATATAGGTTGTGTACATAATATTGATGTTGTTTGAGAAATATACTAATAATTGCATTACTAGTTTATACATCCCAATAATAATAATTAAATAATACATTTGTACAATCCTTTACCAATACAAGAAATTTTTATTGTATTGAATTTTTTAATTTTAAGGCTTTGCTTTCTATTTTTATTCCTCTAAACCAAAGTTCTACTGTTTTAAAAGGGAAATTATAAAATTAAAAAGAAAAGAGATTATAAGGCTGGGAATGTACTTAATGGTGAAGCACTGAACTAGTGTGCATGATCCACAGCATCAGAGAGAAAAAGAGAGATCGTCTCTTTGGACTGGACATTACTTCCCAGTTTTTAAACCAAAGCATGAATCTTTCATGCTTTTCCTTTTTTACATACAACAGGGCAGTAAATGTTTCAAAATTCCTTGTTTTGGGCTAGGGATGTACCTCAGTGGTAGAGTTCTTGCCTGTCATGCACAAGGCTTTGTGTTTCAGCACACAAAAGAAGAAAAACATTCTCTGGTTTCTTTTTTCTTCTGTCAGTCCCCTTCATTTTTTTTTTTTTTTTTTTTTTGCCTCGGAGTGGAGGGGGCTGGGGTTGAGTTTTGAACTAAAGGCTTGCTGTACTGCTTGAGTCATGCCTCTTGAACATTTTGCACTGGTTATTTTGGAGATGTTGTCTTGTGAACTATTTGCCCAAGCTGGCCTCAGACTGCAACCTAGGATTATAGGTTCGAGCCACCAGCACCCAGATAGTCCCCTTCACTTTAAAAGGAGAAGGTAAGAGTATTAAAAGTTGAATGACTCTTCTAAGGTTCCTATGCTGGTGCATCATAAAAAGAGGCTTACTCCTGCATTGGCCCATTCTTAAAAAACAAAAATTTTAATATAGGGCTGGGTGTAACTCAGTGGTAAAGCACTTGCTTAGTGTACATGACACCCTAGGTTCAATCACCTACAAAAAGAAAATTAATGTAACTAATGCAGTGTTCTAAGAAAAGAATTAGTAATAATTAATGCTTTTATTTAGGTATGGTTTTGTCACTTTTGAAACACAAGAAGATGCACAAAAAATTTTACAAGAGGTAAGATCTTTTGGCATATTTAACTTCATTTTTGGAACTTATTTCTTTGAATCTTAAACCGTTAAGATGTTTAATAATAGAGTGCAAGCACAATGATCATTTGTAGCAAAAAAAAAAAAAAAAAACCTTATACGCATCATAAGATTGCTATTGGTTTCTAAGCAACTGTCTGCAGAAGAACAAATGCCAAATCATTATGTGAGTATGATTGAGAAGTTGCAATACAATTTTTCACTTTATTTGCTTAAACTAATAACTTGGATATATATGTGTGTGTATATATGTATATATATACATATATATACATGCATATGTATATATATATATATATGAAGTGTTAATAGTTTTTTGAATTCCTAAAAAAAAAAAACTACAAATTTAGATTTCTGGAGATTATTTCCCTCCATGAAAACCTTTATTTTAACTAAGTGCATTAACAGAAAAAGTCCATAGCTTACAGTTTAGTGTAATATTTTAAATTACGGCAAGAGTAACACTGAGTTTTTTACTTAAAAAAGTTTGAATTATATATCATTAAAATTAAGTATATTCAATTCTTGTTAGTCATAGTATATTCTGTAAAATCACCATGAACACTGAATTAGCAAATCCTGACTGCTGTTCTTCCTCAGAGAAATGCACAGTCAAGCTCCTAAGAACCTCTGGTTGCAATATTGCCATTAATCAATCAGTGCATAGCCTTGTTTTATGTGTGTTTCTGTTTAAAGACACTGTTAGTCAGACTTTCATTACTTGTCACAAATAGCTGAGAGAAAAACAAAAGATGAAAAGATTTGTTTTATCTCTTGGTTCGAGGTTTCAGTCTATGATCAGCTGGCTCCCTGTGGACCTGTGGTGAGGCAGAACATTATGGTGGGAGCATGTGACCAAGGAGAATGAGGAAGGATTCTATAACATACAACCCCCCAAAAAAAACACGCTCCTAGTGACCTATTTCCTCCAGCTAGGCCCTACCTCCAAAAGTTTCCATCACCTCATAATAAATCAAATTATGAGTCCATCAGTGAATTAATCCATTGATTAGAACAGAGCCCTCATGACCCAGTCACCTCTCACTTGGACCCACCAACTAGGGACAAAACTTTTAACATATGAGCCTTCTGGGAGGGACACTTCATATCCAAACCATAACAGACACCATATTGAATAGATTGTTGATTCATTAACATTAAATTCATGTGCAACAGCACTGTAACTCAGCCGTGAATTAAGCTCATCTAACACATACTTTCTTCATAAGGCTTATGACATTCTTATGTTTAGGAACACTAGCCAGCACTTCAGCACTACACTTGGAAGCCCGTTAAATAACAAAAGCACTAACAAAAGTCCAAATAGAATATGAAAGGGACATATTTCATTGTCGGTTGAATGTTTATGACAGCTGAAAGAAGAAGAAGAAAAGCATCGCCTCAGGCTAGAACTTGTCTGTAAAGCTACTCATATTTTCCACCACTCTGTACATGTCCACTCATAACCTTGAAATCACCAATACTATTGATTTGGGTGTTACAAATAAATATTAGCAAATAGAAAAATTCACAAATAGAGAACCAATGAATAATGAGGAGTGACTGTTTTACAAGTGAAGAGGTAGGGTCAGAACATTGGAACCAAGGTTAAAACCCAGAGTTTATTGGAATTCAAAAACTACCCTTTCCATTATGTCCTGCTGCTTCCCAGATGTCAGTCTGAACTTTTCAAGAGTTTTTGTTTATTGCTGACAAAATAATAAAATAATTTTATTTTTTTCTTTATTTTAGGCTGAAAAACTTAATTACAAGGATAAGAAACTGAACATTGGTCCAGCAAAGAAAACAAAACAAGTAGGGATCCCTCGTATGTATTGAGAATTAATGTATTTTTCAATATTATTGCATTGGTCTTAATATTTTGTGAGATACTAGACTTTTATAGACTGTTATTAATATCACATTTCATGTAATAAAGTTATTTTAGCAAAATCATTGGTCAAATAAGTATTTTTTTACCCAAAAGTAATGTATCGTAGGTTTTTTTAGCTAGGGAAAAATACATAAAAATAATGTCACACTAAATATGGCAGAATGATTGCTATTGTTAGGTGCAAGGATTAAACTGTAATATATACCTTGTGGTTCTTTAACCCACTGTCTATGATGAATCCTTTCAAATATACAAATAGCTTTTTCAGAACTATTTAGGACAGAGGTTAATGTAGTAAGAGTTTCATTTATTTCGTGAAATCTTCACAGCACCCTAGAGGTATTATTAACTATATTTTTATAAATAGACAAGTCAGTCTTAGAAAGGGAACTTTGTTTTATATGCATTTCTGCTGAAATACTTCTAATGATAGAGGAGAGTTATGCTTGGACAGTTGTGAATCTTAACTGGAATTGCAAATTTTCTTTAAAGTCTCATGATTTATGTAAGCACTTCATGCATAGTTTTCATTCTGTTCCATGATAATAATATTTATTTGAGTACAAAAATATTTCCCTAAAACAACTGTTTGAATAAAACTGATTCTATGAGAACATCACCATGTTCAGTTAAGCATTTTCTTATCTCCTGGGATAACATCCCATATTTAAATAGTGAGTGGTATACCTACCACTAGGCAATTAGCCTTCAACTCCAAGATCATTTGACTCCAAAGCTGTCTTTACTTTTTCTGCAAGGAAAAACTGGTATTAAAAAATACATTTACAAGCCAGGTATTGTGGCTCACAACCATGGTTCAAGGCCAGATCTGGCAAAAGTAGTGAGATCCTATCTCAAAAAACAAGCCAGTTGTGGTGGTACACTTCTGTGATCCCAGCTACATGGGAGGTAGAGGTAGGAGGATCATGGTCCAAGGCCAGCCCTGGGAAAAAGCATGAGACCCTATCTGGAAAATAACTGCAGCAAAAAGGGTTGGGGGCATGGCTCAAGTGGAGAAGTTCTTGCCTATCAACTTCCAGGGCCTAGCACCACAAAAAAAAAAAAATCCATTTACAAAATATAAGCTTCTTATCTTAATTTTTTTCTCAAATCTGTCACTTCTTTCCTCCTCCGTTACCAACACCCTAGTCCCAGCTGTCTACTTCACTTCCCTGGATTACTGGAAACCCCTCCTAAATGGACTCTGTGAATCCAGTCTTGCTACCTTTCAATTCATCATTCACAAACCAGCCAGAGTGATCTTTCAGTCAGAAGTACACGTCTTATCATCTTATTCTTCCTTTTTCTTTTTTATTGTACTGGAGTTTGAACTCAGGGCTTTGTGCTTGCTAGGCAGGTGATGTACTACTTGAGCCATGCTTCCACCTCCCTTTTCTCTCTGTGCTTTAACCAACCAACCTTCTCACTTCCAGAACATACCAGACTTCCCTTCTCAGGTCTCTCTGATAGATCGTTCCCTTACTTAGAATACTCTGCTATCCCATTTGCTCCTTAAAGCTCAGCTCACAAATGCTCCACAGATAAGGAGAAAGATTCACTTTTATATTAAAATAGTGTAAATGTTCAGTAGATTGCTCTACACTACCTCTTCATATAGTTGTCAGATTTTTTATTAATTTCTTGTGTAATTAGCTAATGACCATCTTCCCTGTCAGAATCTAACTTCTATAGAGATGTCTAATTTTTTTTAATTTTGCTGTATCATAGGACTTAGTTCAATGTCCTATAGTACACACTAAAATTTTTATTTATCTAACATATATACTATGGTTCATTGATGATCTTTGGAGGAATTCATGGGCCTCCTAAATTGTGTATAAAATTTTGTTTGACCATATGTATTTTTGAGATAAAGGCCCATGGCTTTCATCAGATTCTCAAGACTATGGTTGAAAACCATTAAATAGTAACAATACTAATACAAATGCAGTGAAAACATAGAAGCTGACAGATAGAAGTGCTACTTAAAGTGGTAGGCCAGTGCTAGTTAAAATGTGATTTCCAGACAGCATCTATTGATGCTGTTCAAAATACAAATTCTTAGTTCCTAACTCAGACTTACTAAAAAAAAAATCTCTGAGGATGGGTCTGTGGAATTTGTATTGGGTGATTGTAATGTATGTGAAATTTTGAGAAGCACTGATGCAGTGGAGCAAACATTGTCAGTTCCACTAATTTATAGAGTATTGCTGGGCAGGTACTTAATCTAATCTAATTTACATAGCTTTTAAAGTATCCCCCGTGACAAAATGTGTGTCTATGTATATAATTTTTTTCCTTTTACGATTTTTGGGAGGTGGAGGGGGACTGTTTATTTTTTCCTTTAGGAAAATTGGTTTGGTGTGGTGTGATGTGGTGTTAGGCTGTGTTGTGTTTTGTACAGCCTAGCCTAGAAAAAGAGGTGAGGACTCTAGGCTGGCCACTTGAAGACTTAGGTCATGTTTGCAATGGCAGCAGTTATGACAAAGGGAGACAAGATAAAAGACCGTCATAAGTGAATGAATGCTTGCTGATAGGAAAGAATTAACAGGGAGGAACCAAAATGTCTTCAGGAAATTAGAATTTTCTCCAACTTCACTGCCTGCATCATCTTTCAACTTTCACAAATAGGTCTAATTATCTTAGGAACTTTACTACAGTGTCTGCATTCTTCAAGTAACTCCAAAGTATATATAATTATGTTTTTAAAAATAATGACTTGGCTGATAATAATGTAAACTGTTAAGCTCTGTGTTTTATTATACCAGCATTAGAACCTGAATTGGTAGGTTTCTAATATTTTTATTAATGTTGCCTCTTTTCCATTTAGTCATCTTAACCTAATAAAAGTCCTAAAGTAATGAATTTGAAAATAGCATGCTTCAAAAATACATGTAACATATGGAATTTTAAAAAGTATTGTGACATTTTACTGTAGCTATGTAGGTGTGTTAAGATGAACATTTTTCAGCTGAGATTGGAAGGATCAAGGTTCAAGGCCAGCCTGGGCAAAAAGTTAGAGAGACCGCCTTCTCAACCAAGAAGCCAGCGTGATGTGTGCCTGTGGTCCCAGCTATGTGGGAGGTGTGGGTAAGAGGATCATGGTCGGAGGCCAACCCCAAGCAAAAAGCGCAGAGACCCTATCCAAAAAATAAGTGTAGCAAAAAAGAGCTGGGGGGTGTGGCTCATGTAGTAAAAGTGCTAACCTACCAAGCATGAAGCCCTGAGTTCAAACCTCATTAGAGCCAAAATAATAATAATATTTTTCCAAAGCATTTAAATAAGAAATTACTTGTTTAAAAGATAAATTGAACATTTCAATTATTGTTTAATCTTTGCTTTAGGTTCTAGTATAATGCCAGCAGCTGGAACAATGTATCTAACAACTTCAACTGGATATCCTTACACTTACCATAATGGTGTTGCTTACTTTCATACTCCAGAGGTAACTTCTGTCCCACCACCTTGGCCTGTAAGTACTTTCATTGTAGAAGAGTTTCCACCTATGACTACCTAATGGTTTTGAATATTTATTGTATTTCTGAAATACTTCAAACACAAACAAGTACAAATAACAACTATCTCCCTACCACCCAAATTTAACAGATGTTAGCATTTTCCCATATTAAGTTCTTTTTAAAGGGTAGCATATAATTTGGCAAATTCAGGTAGCCTCCTTAGCCCCATTTCTTTTTTTTTTTATTTCTTTTATTCATATGTGGATACAATGTTTGGGTCATTACTCCCCCCTTCCCTTCACCCCCTCCCTTTCCCCTCACCCCCTCACTTCCAAGCAGAAACTGTTTTGCCCTTATCTCTAATTTTGTTGAAGAGAGAGTATAAACATTAATAAGGAGGACCAAGGGTTTTTGCTTGTTGAGATAAGGATAGCTATACCGGGAGATTCCTAGCATTGCTTCCATGTACATAGGTGTTACATTCTGAATTGATTCTTCTTGAACTGAACTTTTCTCTAGTTCCTAGTCCCCTTCTCCTGTTGTTGCTTTAAAGTTTCTGCATTAGTTCCTTTGCATTGAGGACATCTAATGCTATCTTGTTTTTTGTGGGTTACCTACCTATCTTCATACCTCCCTTGTGTATACTTGCTTTATAATATGATCAAATTCCAATCCCCTTGTTGTGTTTGCCTTGATCTAAAGTGCACATATGGGGGAGAACATACTATTTTTGGTCTTCTGGGCCTGGCTAACCTTGCTCAGAATGATGTTCTCCAGTTCCATCCATTTACTTGCGAATGATAAGATTTCATTGTTCTTCATAGCTGAGTAAAATTCCATTGTGTATAAATAGTACATTTTCTTAATCCATTCATCAGTGGTGGGGCATCTTGGCTATTTCCATAACTTGGCTATTGTGAATAGTGCTGCAATAAACATGGGTGTGCAGGTGCCTCTGGAGTAACCTGTGTTGCATTCCTTTGAGTATATTCCCAGGAGTGGGATTGCTGGATCATATGGCAGGTCTATGTTTAGATTTTTCAGAAGCCTCCAAATATTTTTTTCAGAGTGGTTGTACTAGTTTATATTCCCACCAACAGTGTAAGAGGATTCCTTTTTCCCCACATCCTCACCAATACCTGTTGGTGGTGGTGTTGCTAATGATGGCTGTTCTAACAGGGGTGAGGTGGAATCTTAGTGTGGTTTTAATTTGCATTTCCTATATGGCTAGAGATGGTGAGCATTTTTTCATGTGGTTTTTAGCTATTTGAATTTCTTTTTTTGAGAAAGTTCTGTTTAGTTCACCTGCCCATTTCTTTATTGGTTTATTAATTTGGGGAGAGTTTAGTTTTTTGAGCTCCCTGTATATTCTAGTTATCAGTCCTTTGTCTGATGTGTAGCTGGCAAATATGTTCTCCCACTCTGTGGGTGGTCTCTTCAGTTTAGAGACCATTTCTTTTGTTGAGCAGAAGCTTTTTAGTTTTATAAGGTCCCATTTGTCTATATACTTTCTCTTAGTTACTGAGCTGCTGGAAGTCCTTGCCTATACCTATTAATTCCAAAGTGTTTCCTACTCTTTCCTGTACCACCTTTAGAGTTTGGGGTCTGATATTAAGGTGCCTGATCCATTTTGAGTTAATACTAGTACAGGGTGATAAACATAGATCTAACTTCAGTTTTTTGCAGACTGCTAACCAGTTTTCCCAACAGTTTTTGTTGAAGAGGCCCGTCTTTTCTCCATCGTATATTTTTAGCATCTTTGTTAAAAATAAGTTGGGTATAGTTGTGTGTATTCATATCTGGGTTCTCTGTTCTGTTCCACTGGTCTTCATGTCTGTTTTTGTACCAGTACCATGCTGTTTTTATTGCTATTGCTTTGTAATATAGTTTGAAGTCTGGTATTGTGATACTCCAGCGTTGTTCTTTTTGCTGAGTATTGCCTTGGCTATTCGTGGTCTCCTGTGTTTCCAAATGAATTTTAGGGTAGATTTTTTTCAATCTCTGTAATGAATGTCATTGGGATTTTGATGGGAATTTCATTAAACATGTAGATTGCTTTTGGTAGTATAGCCATTTTTACTATGTTGATTCTACCTGTCCATGAACATGGGAGATCTCTCCATCTATAGTCTTCCTCAGTCTCTTTCTTCAGGGGTTTATAGTTTTCCTTGTAGAGGTCATTCACATCCTTTGTTAAGTTTAATCCTAGATATTTGATTTTTTTTGAGGCTATTGTAAATGGAATTGTTTTCATATATTCTTTCTCATTTTGTTCATTATTAGTGTATAGAAAAGCTAATGATTTTTCTATGTTGATTTTATATCCTGCTACCTTGCCATAGCTGTTTATGGTGTCTAGGAGTTTTTGGGTAGAGTTTTTTGAGTCTTTATGGTATAGGATCGTATCGTCTGCAAATAGGGATATTTTTCCTTCTTCTTGCCTTATTGCTCTGGCTAGGTATTCCAGTACTATGTTGAGCCCCATTTCTTTACCCTCGTTGCTTCCTCAGAATATCTTTCCTGTCCATTCTGTGTTTTTACTGCAAATGTACGTATCTTTATACAGCATAAAGTATTGCTTTGGGTAGTTTTTAAACACTATAAATAGTCAGGATTTTATACTCAGCATTGTGTTTTGCAGACTAAACTGTGTTGATCCTTTTATTAGAGTATACCAAAATAGTCCTTATATATCTAGTTAATTTATCTTAAATCCATTATTTGAGTATACTACAATTTTTATATTCCTCCATTTACTGACCTTTTCTGCCACAATGCCAGATTGAATATATAGATCTTTTATAAATTATGTGACTTTTTCTATGGTAGTGATTTTCAAAAAGCTATAAATATGCTCACTCACTTTTAAGTTGATATCTGAAATTTATCATAAATTTAAAATAGTTTAGGCCTAATATAGATCATAGACTTGCTTTAAATATCTTTATCAAAACTTTTTAAACTCTATACTTAGCTTATTTTAAATAATTGAAAATGTCTACAGGTTAGTCAACTGAATAAAAATAAATAAAGCTTACTGTTAGAAAATTCTGACTTTATGGTTAAACTTAAATAAATGAGTTAATGTGTATCCTTTGTGATCATCATATAGGTGTAACATGTTCCTGCAGGAAATAAGTGCCATCTCCCTTAATATTTGTTATATAGCTTCTGTTTGTTTT